TAATGTTGATCAGAGTCTGCTTTATTATTATGCAGTCCTCTTTCCTTGTCTTATCCCAGTCTCCCTCTTGCTCCGTAAAATCCGTCTGCTCCACTCCTTATTCACCTATTTCACTCGACTCCTGCCACCACATCTGTCCTAATCGAGGCGTTATTCACCCTCACCTGCGTCGGGGTGACTAATTCGAGGCGCAAGGCTCTTAGTGTCATGGTCACCCCTTTGCTACATGTACCACGCCTCTGGTACAACCGAATGACCGTCAGCCAACTAGCTCCGGTCCCCACCGTCTATCCTGTTTCTATACCTAATACCAAGTCTATGATTTGCCATGACCCAGTCCCTTATGTGCCAACCCACAAATGTTGTGGTACAGCTTGTTTTGATTTGGTTCAATGTTAAACAACAACATTTGTGGGTTGGCACAGAGACTAGGGCATAGGAAGTAATAGGCGTTTTCTCATGTTTTAACCATATCCAGCCAACCTATCGGTCGATTTCCGGTCGATTTTCAGTCGATTTCCAGTCGATTTAATGCCCCGCCCGTGCAATGTGTTCCGCTATTTTGGATCTTTTTGCATTTATGTACCCGCAGAGTCTTTGATGTTCCTTGATTCGTAGACAGATTTTTCGATCTCTTTCACTGATGTACTTCTGCTCACAGTTTCCGTATTTAATGCGATAAACTTCCGAACATTCAAGTTTATCCGTCTTCTCGTGTTGTGTTGGCAGACCGGTAAAAAGTGTTTTCTTCTCCTTTGTAATCACCTTGATATACCATTTTCCTAATAAGGTCGCAATTGTTGACTCAGTTTTGATGATGGCAACAAATCCACTTTTGGTTGTTATACTCATTCCTGATCTGATTTTCATAAAATCCAAGTTGAAATCGGCCCTTTATAACCTCCACATTTTTCTCTATAAATTCTCTGTGGCATCCAGTACTTAGACAAATCCGTGTCAGTTTGTCTAACTCCTCGTCCCAGAACTCTTTGTCTGTTAGTCGTAGGCTTCTGGTGATAAAACTCCTCACTATTCCGATCTTCAGTGTGTAGTTATCATGAGACTGAAAATTAAGGATTATTTCCGCATACGAACTCTTTCTGTATAGTTTCCTCATGAGTGTCCCTCTGAGGCGTATGACTTCAACATCCAGAAAGGATAGTCGTTAATCTTCCTCCACCTCCATTGTAAATTTAATTCTTTCATCGAGTTGGTTAATGAAATTGAGGAATTAACTTAAATTTTACTTACCATGTGACCAAAGTGCAAAGTAGTCATCCAAGAATCGCATGAGAACTCTTGGTTGCAGTAATGACTTCTCGAATTCCCTTTCCAACTTGTCCATGTATACATTTGCCAAAAGAGGTGAGAGTGGTGATCCCATCGTAGTCCAAATATTTGGTATAGATAATGCCGTTGAAAAATGTTGTCAATAACTGTCAGGTTGATTAGTCGTGTTAACGTCTTCTTCCGTATCATTTCTGCCTCTAGGATGTCCTCTTCTCTCTCCAATATCTCCAGCAAGGCGCTTACCGCCTTCTCACCTGAGATGTTTGTGT